CCATCTGTTACAAAACTTTAATAATACGATGAATGGAGAGTTTTAGTTTCTGTTTTATCCCGTTCATTCGTAACGAAACAGAATTATGTTCCTTGTCATACTAACTTCGCTAACTCAATTCCCTGATCCATAAATTTTAAATAAATCAACAGCGAGTTTGCATTTTAAACTTTAGCGCAGTGGCTGCTCGGGGTTGTTCACATTTCAGAAGTACGTAGTAGGTGCAAAAAATAAAAGCTACACAGTGTAACACTTTACTTGAAAAAGCTACTGTGATAGCAAAACAATTGTCGTGGTAAAAATAAAAAAATGTGAAAGTTACTATACTTCATTTTTTTTCTCTAGCGATGTGCCCCCTTCCAATGTCTTGGATGCACGCTAGTAAAATCGTAGGTAGGGAGAAAAAAGCTCATTATACTCTCGACTCTTGTTCATTAAACATACTTTTTCATACAGTACCTGCCAAAAGTTTTGTTCAATCATGAATAGTAGTGCGAGTCGAAAACAAGCGTTAAAGCCTTTAATATGTCTTCAAATATAAATAAACATCTCGTTGATATTTTCAGTAGTAAATGGTACCAATAACAGCACATTTGAGCAATGCAATTGTAGTGGATAAAATCGTCAATTTTTCCGCGCAGTACTGTACGGATTATACGCTTCTCACCGGTTAAGAGTTTGGCCGAAAGTTGTCTCTTTCCTTTTCTACCCTAGTGTTGTTCTTTTCTACTTTGCGCCGGTCAAACTGAAGGTCATATCGCTATAGAAAGTAAACGAAGTATAGTTCTATTATTTTTATTACTTTTTTCTGATATTTTCAGATTAAAACATATTTTTCAAATGTTCTTTTGAGTTTTCATGTTTGATAATTTTACCATTACGATGAATTAAGTCTTTTATTCCGTTCTCTGACCAAGATTCTTCACCATTAATGAAAAGTCAGAAGACACGGAAAACTAAACAAAACAATTTTAATATTGCATCCATCAATCCAGTCATTTTTTTGATAAGTTCTTAGTTTGAATTTTCTTATAGGTAATGTCTTTTCTTTTCATAAATTTTTTATGTTCGAAACGTATTGCAGTTCATATTGCTCACTCGAGAGCAAACTAAACCACTTGCTCTATCGTAAAGTATTATGTGGCGTTTAAGACGCTTTAAATACGGCTTTGTTATCTCCAATGTAATGCTAACGACTTAGTAGATCAATGATCTCCCTTTGCTCAAGCGAACTGCGTTTTTCTTTTATCTTTCACACTGAGTCACCATTTAGTTTGTTATATTTAAAAATTTTAAGGGGGTGCAAGTATAAAAAGCGTTCTCGTTAGTTAAATAAGACTCATTATGAAATGTTAGCATATACTTCTCTGAAATAGAGTCGTTAAAATCTAAATAATTAGGTTAATTAAAAAAAGAAGCATGTGTGTGTGTAATAATAGGTAGCTTATGGGCACGTATTTGAATTTTTAGTTACAGGAATCGTCATAAGCAGTGAATATTTCTCACTTTGTTACTATTCGTGCAACTACTTCGGGTTGTTTTGTAGAAGCCATTAATATTTATCAGTGTTGCCGGGAGTGGAAGTAAAGAAAAGGTGATTTTTATTACTGTTGGCAATGCTATTTCACGGTGGTCACGCTGAAGTAACTCTGTGTATACGGGGCGTGCATTTTATATATATCTGGGATAATTTAGGAAGGCGAAGTGCCCAATAAATTATTGGAGAAAAAGAGAGAAAGAGAGGAGCTATTTTACTATCTATATAACATGTGTTGCAATTCCCTCATTCCTGATTTCTTCCAGATTTATCTGCTTGAGGAGATGTTCTCTCTCTACCCTTTATAGAACAGTAAAATGGCGTTCATTCAGTTGAAAAATTTATTGTCGATTTCGCCGTCTTAATTTGGCCCGTGTCAGACTTTGCTGCTTGTTTTGTCTAACTATGAGATCAAACCTTCTAAATTTATAATCAGAGACATAATCCTTTTACCTACCGAAAAATAGAATGGATTAATGTAATGTAATTAGAATTATAATTATAAATGTAGCTATTTTTATCAGGATTTCTTAATGGAGTCTCTCTCTCTCTGTATATGGCAGCCCGTTCCGAGTTGGCCATGTACGTGTTGTATCGTTTACATCGATTTTCCATTCAGGACGATGGCTCATAAATCCTTTTTCGCAGCGAAACGTATATAATGCATGAACTGCTTACCTGCTTGCCTTCTACGACTTTGAAAAGCTAAAGGTCGAACCTGTGGATGGTTAATTAGTTACCTTGTCCCGATGGTAGCGGCTGTTTACTTTTCGTTTAATAAAGAACCACTCAACGAACACTTAAAAGTATAAATTAATTTTTGGGCTTGATAAAATTTAATTATTTTATACGTATCGTATTTATTTTACTTTCCCAAAGAAAATTAACTGTTATGTGTATAGGTATATAGAAATTAATATGTGAAAAACCGAGTATTGTTTAGGACAGATGTAAAAAAGAACTAAAAAAAGTCTGACCACACTTTGGGATTCGAACTCGCGCTCTCCGGCGCGGTAGACCTGTGCTTTAGCCATTGGTCTATTTTCAAATGATGATCTCAGTTGGGAAATTTCAGGCAGGCCCAGGAGAAAACGGAAACATCTGAAAATATGTAGGCCAGTGTCTTCAAAGAAGAACGTACATCTTTTATTGAAGTTAGTTTTTGTCATAGGTATTTGCAAAGGCCTGTATAATAAAAATTGAGTGTATCACCACATTTATCTACTTGAATTTACCTTAAAAGCAATTTCAGCTGTAGCGTCATTCTCTTGAGAGCTTTAGATACATATTGACATAACCGCAGGAAAGGAAAAGAAAAGTTGGCGAAAGTAAGGGAAAAGCTAGTAAGCTGTTAAGTAAATAAGCCTGACGTGTATGATAAAACTTAGTTAAAACTGCATTAGAACTGTTATTTCAGCGCGTTTAAAAAACGCTCTAATTATTATGCAAAACGAACTAAGCTCGCATTAGCATTTTATCGCTGTAGCCTTCTGTTTTAAAGAAATCTGATATACGGAGCAATTTAGAGACCTTGCACGAAAATGCGAACATTCTTTGTTTTAAACTTGTTATGTGGCTACTTTTGAATATCATACGGTCGAAAAAACGCCACTGTTTTGTTGAATGTTTGAAGAAGTGAAAATATGGAGAAGAAAGTTTCCTACCTACGATTTATCGGGTTCCTTTTTTGTCCATTTCTTGTATGTTTAATGCCATCTCTTGGTGTAGTTGACATATATTAAGCTCTCAAATTTTTGCCAGCATTCTTGGCTTCATCAGGAGATCACTACGAATATATCAATAAGAATTTTGTTAAATTACAATTAAATTGTTATTAAAATTATTTTTAATTATCTTTAATACTCTTTTATCTTTTACTAAGGCATGTGAGTATTACCATTCGCCATTTTGGGCCCTGATCAAAGACAATAGGTAAACAGGAGATTATTATTATTCCAAACAATAGAAGTCCACTACAAAATATCAAGTATGAGTAGATTTTAAAATAAACTGAAATAACAGCAGCAGGTTGCATTTTTATTTCAATTGGAGATACTGATTTATATATACCGCTATCATTTCTATTGGCTGGACCCAAAATGGCGGATAATGATAGTAGTTATGTCTTTGGTAGTGCTCCACCTTTATTTTCCACTTTCAAAGATTTAATATATGACGTGAGTGGAAATTTGAAAGTCATGTATTTGGAAGTATGTAAGTTACATGATGTATTAAAGAAAATCGATTGTTCTCTGGATAAGTAATTAATCAAGAACGAAGCGGCGAGCGAAACAGATAAAACAGCTTTGCCAAGTTTGGAGATAAATCAATACTATTACCATTACAGGTGGGTCATTCATCTTTAAGGACTGATCCATTAATTTATTTTACTGACTTGAGACACATGCATTTCGAACGCTATTTTCGTAAGTGATTGACTGTTGTTCCAGTGCCAAACGAGACAATAAAAGTAACAAGTACATCGAAAACTTTTGGTTACGAAATGTTAGCAAAAATTTGTGTACATAAGACGACAGCTAGGTCTGTTGATTGTTACTAGTTGGATCATTAAAACGTTTAGTCAAAAGATGGAAGAATTCCTTAGATCTACTCTCGATATCCAGGATATTATTGTAATGTTTGTGGGTTTAACAAAATTACTTCTAAGACTGATAACGACAAAAACTATTTATTTACACTAATGTTGATATATCACTATTCATTGCGCTATTTATTTCACTCCTATCACTGTCAATTTATTTCTCGATTCACTTCTGCAACGGTCAGTTTATTTCATCTTTCTCGGCGATCGTCTCTTCCTCTTTTGTTTACTTTCGGGAACCTTCTCGAAACGTCCGGAAAGTTTCTTTTTTCTTTTAACTGTTTAACTGTTTTCCCAGAGCGCAGGTACGACACATACATTTACAAATACGGCGCACATGAAGAAAGGCGCCCGCGGCTAGTCGGCGAATCGATAAACCGTTCACGCACACGTGTGCCCGATCGCACACAAGCACACTCGTGCTCGCTACATTATTGTTTAATCGGAACTGTTAATTACGAGTTAAATGTATAAGGAGAACAGGGGCGCAACAAGGGGGGTCCACGGGTGCCCGAGCACCCACTTGATTGGGTTCGGCTCCCAGTCAGTTCCAGTCGATTCAGATAATAACCCAACTTGAAAGTTCGGTTCAAATAGTTCAAGCTGGTAAATGAACAGCCGAACTCGATCTTTTAAGCTTATCCACACCCGCAGTATATAAATATTTATAGTATTATGACAGGAGCACCCAGTCAAACTGTAACGTTGTTGCACCCCTGAAGGAGAACCAACAGAATATAACTGATGTTTAGTTAATAATGAATTGTGACTGCCACAAACATCCGGTGGTTTATTGCTATTTTGAAAAAAGAAAATGGCAAGATTTCACCTGTACCTAAATAAATGTTTGTATTGTTTCAGATACCGTATGTACAGAAAAAGTCAAACAACAGGCTTCCCCTCCCTTATAACAATTTTTTCGGCGCCAAATTACCTGGATGTATATAATAATAAGGTAAGATATTCCCTTTCTTTCTAACAAAAATTATACATAGACATAATTACTAATGAATGCGTAATAGTATACCTTTAATGACTTTCAAAATTGCGAATAATTAAATAAAAAGCAAATTTATTTGGACAGATCCCTGCAACTGACAGTTGTTTGTGCACCACAGGTGTCCCTTTAAGGGAAACTCCCCTTCAAAAGTAAATGTTATCTCGTAATTCAATAAAATACGATTACAATTAATATCAGTAAGCCAAATAATTCTTTTTTTGATCAATAAGCAATCCACAAGGAGCGGGCTCAAGATAGGGTTGTTAACTTTGAGAATTATCGTTATCGTCTTTTAGCCTGAGTTTTGACTTTGTATTAGGTACTTTTTTTTTTCCTGTAGTCCAACAGAATTAGGTTTAAAATCCGGACAGTTTTTAAAAATTTAACATATAATTGATTATCCATAATTTTGTCATATAGATAAGTCCTTGATTAGTTTCAGTTCTGAAATAATAGAAACTTATTCAAACAAGAACGTTAAATAATTTAAAAATAGATTTTATTGCGCCAGTCATATGCTAAATTTATTTTCTTCACTTCCACTATAAAATATATCGTATTTTGAATGTTGTTGTCGCGTATGAACAACATTTATAGGAAGCATCATTTTTTGACGAGTGGGATCATTAAACTTTTTTGCTTATGAAAAACCTGTACTTTTTCGATGATTTTTGTATTTTGATGTCATAAAACATTAACCATGGTTTAAACATATGGACTTGAAGGTCAGCAGGCGATTTTTTTAACCAAAACGGCAAACAAAAGTTAAACAGTTGTTGCGTCGACACGCAACCTTTTATTTATTAATAAAAAAGTATGTATATAGCTGTGGAAACTAAATGTGATCAATAAAACAATAGAATAATTTATAATACGGGATTTGAAGGATACCTGCCCTAACAATTTAAGCGACGCTATTTTTTATTGGCAAGAACAGCCCTGTTGCTGTCTCCAAATTGAAAAAGTATCGGTATTAAATTGACAGATATTCGAATAGAGACAGATTTTAAATGTCTTCTTCATCAATAGTCGTAACACTTGTTGGACTCGAGACCCCTCGTTTTAATCCTGACTCGATCTTTACATTTTCCGAAAACTAAAATATTCATTCTATACCCTTGAGTATTTGCGAACAGTAATCTTATTTTCCCCTCTTTACTCCTATTTCTAGTACGTCTAACTGGTCCTTCATGTCTCAGAAAATGTCCTACCATCTCGATGCCGTCCTTTTATTTTTACATTTCCGTAGTGCCCTTTGTTCTCCTAGTCTTTTTAATATATTTTAATTTCTCTTCGCGGAATTGTCATCCCCCTATAACACCAGATCTGAAACGCTTCTAACGTTTTGTACTTGTGCATAGCGATGTTCCAAATATATACTTTTAACGCCTTGAATGTCAATAAATGATCAAAAGTAAAGAACTGCTCATTTTACGACGAGAATAGTTTGAATATTTTAAATACAAAATTGAATTCGCAATTTTTCTGAGATGGCTTTCGTGAGCTCATTCTAGAAAAATAAAAAGTTGCACTGTAATGTTTCAGTATTTATTTTAACGAAACTTTATCAAGACTATTGGATGTACTGAGAAAGAGTACATTATACTTTGCACTTCCAAAGTCTCATGCATCATTATCTCAGAAACTTGCAACCGGAAATTGAAAAATAAAAACAGTCAATTTTTGTTCTTTTGTCCTTTAAAGAAAGTGGGTTAAATAAAAATAGATAGAGGTAATTCAGAATCTCGTGGGCCACGACCTTGAGTTGCATTTGTTTGTAGTGAGCAACATGGCTAACAGTCAAGGTCCGTCCCTGACGCATTTTGCTGCCCATGAGATTCCCAAATACTTTTACGTTACGTTTCGATACATTGGTCACAATTGTATTTGTCTGTTTCTTTTTGACTGTATGCCTACGCGTTCTAAAATACGAAAAAAAAAATCGTAGCAATTTCGTTGTTCTTTTGTTGCAGGCCGCCGTACTTAAATATGAAAATAATGTGATGAACATTCGACAGTTCAACTGTTCTCCGCATCCGTATTGGTTGCCCAATTTTATGGACGTGTTTACGTGGTCGTTACCTTTCGTAGGTGAAAAAGTTACCGAAATGTTAGTTAACGTGCTCAATATTTGCTCTGATGACGAGCTAGTGTCAGACGGTGACGAAGGATTGGAAGAAGGTATGTCTTGTTGTACTTAATCATTGCTGTAGCACCACCCACAATCGATTATTCGATATCGCAATGCCTGATAAAGTGTACTGTACGGCGTTCCAAACTAAGGTTACTTTTTTACATATCAGATTCTATTTGATGACCAATTGCTACCCATAATTAATTTGTTTTGAAGAAGGTACATCGTAGCCATTTTGTATTTGTTTTTAATTGAAGTCAGAAAAGAATTGTTCAATTTTCAAAGTCGTAACTAAATTTGTATACTGTATAACAGTATAACATACTTTGACTGATTGGTCCACACATCTCAATGTTACTGGCAGCAGAGGTCAATATTAATTACATATTTTATTCTCCACATGCTGATGAAACTCACTATGTAAGGAAATAATTTTTGTGGTGTTCAATTAATACCTTCAATTCTATACTTTTTTTATGTTAATTTTTAAAATTTAAATTTACATAATCTTTTTATTTAAGGGCATCATTGATATTATCTATTAACTATCACCGTTTTACTTTAATGTAAGTTTGGGTTTGGATAGAAGACATTTAACTATTTTTTGTTTAAATTTATGTAAATCTGACGATCAAAATTATATACGTAACTATTTATTTTATTTTATCGATTGCAACTTACAAAGATTTTAATATTTTTTCACTAAAGAGTAACGTATTGTAATGTTCGTGGGTTTAACAAAATTAACTTAGGTTATAAATTATTCTATTTATTTACACTACAGTTGATATATCACTATTCACTGCGCTATTTATTTCACTTCTATCACTGTCAATTTATTTCCCGATTCACTTCTGCAACGGTCAATTTATTTCTACTCTTCTCGGCGATCGTCTCTTCCTTTAAATACTCTTTTGTTTCCGTTCGGGAACCTTCTCGAACCGTCCGGAAGAGTTTCTTTTTCTTTGAACTGTTTAATTGCTTTCCCAGAACGCAGACACACACATTTACAAATACGGTGCACATGAAAGGCACCCGCGGCTATTCGGCGAATCGATAAGCCGCTCACACACACGGATACCCGATCGCACACAAACACGCTCGTGCTCGCTACAGTATGAAAACTATTTTTGTTTTTCGAATTTTTTACTAGCGGATTATTATAGAATGAGATTTTTAATTTTTCGATAATTTTATTGATATACAATTCATTTTTGAGTTTACAAAAATCGGTGTAATGTAGTAATTATTAATTTAATTAAATATGCATTCTTTGTTGACGGAATTGAATTGTATTATGGATACATATTTAGAAAGTAACCTTAGTTTCTTAACAATATATTTTCATGGTAACTGTCGCTTGACGCTTAAGGACAATATTCCATGTACAGTAATTTATTTATTAACATTTGCTGTTGTATCATTTATGGGTGGTAAATTCATTGAATGTTTAATATAATAATTAATGATTAATACTGCGGCAAAATTTGCTGTTCATTTTGTTGACGAACTCTTGCCAAAAAAATTTTTTTTTTCAATTCTTTTTTTCTGTTCCCTTTTTAAATGCTACTTGGATGTACAGATGGTAAGATGTTTTTGATTTTTACGATAATACGACATGTTTGCTTAAAACCGTAGATGATTAGTTATTTTAGCCTGCTTTATTGGATTATTAATATTTATATTACCTATTTATTTTTGTGGTTATAAAATTTGACATTGACTGGTTGATTTATATCATAAGGTCATTGTTTTTGGTTAGGTCAATATAATCAAAATGAACGAAGAAAATCGCATTAATGCAAAGTCCTTCGAGATGACTTATATTGTTGAGATTGTTGTAGAAGTGAACAGAGGGAGGTATCTCTGAGTAGTGCTTCGGTTTTTTGACTACTTTTTCAATATTCATTATTTAAAATTCATGTTTTTGGTGAGAAATATTGAAATTATATCGATAATAATGCAATATTCGAATTTAGTGTGCTCGAATAAGTTATATTCGAGTCATATGCATGTTTAAAATTGAAGAAAAGTTTGACGCATCTTGGCGGGAAAACTAGCCACGGAATCAAAAAGTGTCCCACTGAAATTACTCATCTGGAAGATCAAATTTGCATTAGAGTGATTGAAAAAACTCCATATTATACAGCCTTGTCATGTATATTTTAACTACTATTATTATTATTATTACCAAGTAGCATATTTGTTATTTGAAAAATTTTCCGATTTTGGCAAGTTTTTTTTTTGTGTCCAAGTGCACTGCGAAACCCTTAGCACAATGAAAACTTTACTCACTTCGTAAAAAACACTCGTTTTATCGCTTTTAAGTTTTTTCTTCTATCTGACACTTCTATTTTTCACTATTTTTTTATCTATATTCCCCTTGGACTTGTGCTCTACACAGTGAAACAGCCAATAATAGTTAATAAAAGTAAGGGTAAGTTTTTATTTTTCAAAAATGCAGCTTAACAGACAAAAAATAACATTGCATTTGTGGCCATTTTTTTCCAATCATAATGTTTTAAGCAATTGCACACGAGTGTTGCTGGCCCTAAACAATACTTATACAATAATAATTACGAACTGCTTAAACTCAAGTTCATTTAGAGTACAACTTTTACATTTTTACATTTTGTACACATTTTTTCGCAAAAATTTTTAACCACCTTTTCAAGCTGTATTTTTTCATAGAGACCTGAACATTGATGTCAAGTAACAAAGTACTAAAAGTAACACCATTACGTGTAGCGAAGCAGGGTCATCCTATATTTTGCTATCGCAACGTAACAATAACTGTAAGGATTGATAAAAATTCAACAATTTACTGAATTGATCGTAACAATTATTCCTTTTAAACATTTTCGCAGTCCGTATCATGAAATTTTTGTCGAACGCAATATTCAGAATGTTATCTACCATATAAAACCACAATACAACGGGACATATTGTCTATGCATTTTAGGGTTTGATACCTTGCGGGCATATTATGTTGGACCATATTACGTTGTGGTTGTACAAGTTTTGTAAATGTTTTTCTTCGTACAATATACATAATGTTATCGACTGTATAAAACCACAATACACCACGATATATTGTCGATGCATTTTAGGGTTTGATACGTTGCGAACATATTATGTTGTGGCCATATTACCTTGTGGTTGTGCAAGCTTTATAGATGTTTTTTTCATATAATAACCAGAATGTTATCGACTGTATAAAACCACAACACAACACGACATGATGTTAATGCATTTATACGTTGCGGGCATAACATGTTGTTTTTATATTACGTTGTGGTTGTACGGGTTTTGTAGATGTAACGAAACGCCGAAGTTAGTTAAAATTTTAACGTTTCCAATTTAAAAAACGAAGGAAAGTTTCTTACGTGTCTGCCCGTTTGTCTCGTAGTATCATAGAGTCAAAGTTTTATAAGTATTTCAAGAAGTTTGTCATTTTTTATTACCAACAAATTTGTGTTAGTGGCAGACGATTTCGAATTGGTAATTTTGTTTGTAAGTATAAACATGTGTGTTTCATGAGTGATAAGAAAAAAACGAAAACTAAATTCATGGTACAGAATTCTTTCTCGAGTTGTTCGTTTTTTAAATTGAATTTTCAAGTTTGGTAGAATTTCCATTTCTCATATAATAAGAGGAATTGATCATAAACATCTGGCATTATTTTTCGGTTTTATGGGTTTGTACTTCATTCTTTACCTTTACAATTTAGTAATTTGAATAAGAAGACGTATTGATACATAGGTGCCACGTAGGGTGTCATTTGAACGGTTTGACAAAAAGGAACTCAAATATTTTTTGAAATTGTAGGTGTTGTATATTTATTAATATTCATGTAATTTTAGTCCAAAACCATGTTTTCTACCCTTATTTTCGAAACAACTGACTCTAATGTATGAAAAACAAACGCAGAGTTGGCAAAAAAATAAAATAAATTATATTCGAAATTAGCAGGCCGAACAGAAATAATTCATAGAAATAGAAGTAATAGTTTAGGAAAAAGTATACTTCCCGACATTGACAATTTTGAGAAAAAAAATGATAATAAAAACCTCGAAATTGTTATTCGGTAGATTCGCGATGGTGTGTACATCTCATAACTGAAACCCCGCATAATACGACCAGCATATATATTATTCTAGACTACTGTCTAGTGTGTAGAAGAAATGGTATTTCATTAGTGTTATCCGTTTGTTAACGTTAAATCGATAATAAAACAAGTCTTTGCCCTCGTCTGTTTTTTTTTTGTGTCGTGTTGAGATCCTTCATTACGGTTACCCTGCTTCGCTTTGTTTTTACGTTTTGGTAATACTTTTAGAAAGTACATTGTTATTATCCTGTAAGTACAGATATTGATTTGTTGGGTGTCGAGCCTCTTTCTTTGATCCTTAATGGATATTTTTGAAAAATATCACATTTCATTTTGTAGAGTGCTATTATTATTATATGAATAGTTATTTGTGTAAGGTAAGCTTCCCGTAACATATGTACGTATTATATATATATACCATATTCAACAATCTTTTACGTTTGAAACAAGAATGTGTTTGACCCCTACTATATCGCTATCTTTTAAATGATTCTTGTTTTTGACGGTCTATAAATGATGTCAACATTCTATCTGTTCAATGTATTGATATCTATATATTTTTTGAATGAACGTTTTAACATTTTTTTTTTTATTTCTCCATTGTTTGTACCTATAAGAAACTTTTGCATGTGTCATTATTGATGAGAGGCAGGTAATGTTTTCTTTTGTCGAAAGTTACTTTTTTGAAATTTACATCTTAACGAAACCATCAACAGGCGGTTTAATATTGAAGTCATTAATAAACTACGTTGTTTTACGTATTGCTTACGAGCGGGTGTCGTTCGCATATACTTGTACCTTGGAAGTCCTTTCGGAAGCAACTTTAAAGGACCATATCTCAAAAAGATGAATTTTATTGAGACTCTTGATCTACACGTTGGGAATCACCGGAATCCAAAACTTCAACGAGTTTGACACTGGGTCATTTTCCATGAGGATCTGCCGGGGTCCTTTGCGTTATCATTCTAAAAGTAGTAGTTTAATACGATGAAGATTTTTCGGACTAACGGGCCGTGGTCTAGTGGAAAATAGTTTAATACTTTAATAATCAGTAGTGATTTCACTCAGAAGGTGGCTCATGCATCAGCCCGTTTCTCAAAATAAAATTTGAACAAATCAAACCTCTCAATTTCTAATTGATGCGTTTTGTCAAAATTTTCGCAAAATGGGTCGTTCCACCTGTGTATAAATAATTCTGTTTACATTAAAATGCTGCATTCGATTAGATTTCCTTTTAATTTTTTTCTAAATCATTCGTAGACGTAAATAAACTTGACAAAATGAAAATACTTACCTTGCCTAACGTATCTTATAGCATGATTTTGTTTGAATAGCCGTTTGCGCCTTCAACTTGAGTTTAAACAAATGATTCTAGGCCAGCAGCAATGACTTTTGTATTATGCTCATTGTGTTTATTCACTCTTCTAACTCTTTGTTTGGTTTGAGGTAACGGTAATGTATTAGCAATTACTCAAAGGAGAAAGGTTATTAAAAACGAAAATGTTTTCCACAAATTAAAAAACCATCATTTAAACGTCTTTACTTGACATGCCTAAAGCAGGGTGTTCTAAAATTTAATTTATTGGTTATATTTTGAATTAATCTTAAAATAAAAAAAATCACCCAAAACATACAACTAACTCTGCATTACAATTAAGTACGCTTTTGTATGTTATGTATTAATTTTATCAAAATTGATTTTTACCGTTCTTACTGTAGTGACAAACATAATAAATAATATAATATTTAACAGAAATACGGATGAATGCATTAATTCGGATTGTTAATTAATTAAATATTCCAAGCACCGTGTTCTACGATAGCGAATAAAGTATTATATAGAAGCCTCTATTACAGTTGAGTTTAATGGGGTTTACTCTTTTATTATGAGCCTTTTGATGACAGCTCTGCTTCAGATAGCTTAGTATGTACATCAAATGGGAGGCGCTTAAAAAACATGGCGTAAATGAGGGTTTTTTTATAGACCTTGCAGCGAAATATTGCAATTACAATTTTTTTTTAAATGATATAAGATGCTTACTATTGGTCCAATATGTGAATGGGTTGACACAAACCCTCGAAAAAGGAATTTGGCTGAAGTTGAATACGTTTTTAATATTGCAATTAAAGTAATACCACCAGGTGGTAATGCTATTTGATGGATTGCAACATCTGAAGTTAATGTTACATCATAACTTAATGATAATTTTCCAAATAAAATTGTCAGTTTGCATTTTAATTAATGAATTAAATAATTTTATGATATTGTAGTTTAAATGCCTTTTAAATTAGATATGATTTTACGTATAAGAAGGAGGTACATAGATCACTGTACTGTTGAATTGAATTGAAAATAAATTTTAAATTTTATGGAAAGTATAAAAGAAGTTATTATTTTTAATAACAAATTACTTCGGTTGAAATCATATAAATAAATTGAAGATAACCTTTTAACTAGAGTTTATGTCTGTGTTTTCGTTATTTCGTATTTTTATGTTAGTTTTGTTTTTATTTTGTTAAATTAACTTATGTTCTTGTATTACAAC